TCAGAACAACAGCACTCACTATTGCTTTCATGAGTGGTAATGGTCAGCTGAAAGGAAACTTCTATCCATCAACTCATAAGTAAAGTAATGACTAATCTCCTTGCTGCGCATGTGGTTCCTTCGTATTTACATGTACCGTAAAGTACCGCCAGAGCGCCCCACCATCTCGTCCTTTCGGGGTCGTATTGTGGAGGTGGTCTCCTGTCTGTAGGTTATATGACACGAACTTTGTACACATATTGCACGTTCTGCAGACAATCCGTACCTTCGAGCGGACACTAGCTCCACACAAAAACCTGCTTAGTGTGACCAGTGGCGTGCACCGAGTCTTGAAAGGGGGGTTTCTAGAGTTGGTCATTTTTTTCTGGAGGCCCACTTATTTATGTATTTGTGCACATGCGCATCCCCCGAACATCCCGTCGGAGATAACGGCGAGGGCTAGGGAGGAGGCTAGGGGGGGGGGGGGACTCAAGATCAGGGGTGCAGGGCACCAATGAACACTGGTGCCGATGAAATGCGGGGCTCGTCCCACTGCTAATGCTATCATCAGATCATGCCAGCACAAACGCGTCTGAAAGGGCACCAGGTACAGGGGTAGAAAGGACAGAAATAAGAGTAATGAGGAATGGAGGGAGGGGACGATGTTACATGGAAATTTTGGTACATGTATAACTGGTAGCAGGATAAAACGGTTACGGGTTGCCTTTTACATACCAGCAGGTCGTCCACATGTATCAAAGGAGGCGAGATCGCCTGTTTGTGGTGCGACGTTAAATAAACTTCTACAACAACAACAACTTCAAAAAGTAAATGTACTCATATACATGTTTGTCATATTGAACCCGTAACAGTTTGATAGGCCTAGCCGCCCAGGCGACATGTATACACTGAAGTCTATAAGTAGAACACTATGTCTATGGTACTTCACTACAAGTACAAGTAGTGGTCCACTCCATGCAGGCATGTTTGTTTCATCAAAACACTGCTTACATTCGACGTATCTTTCTTTCTGTTCTTATGACGAAGTTTTCGGCATGTATTGGCAATGTTCCACATGATTTCAATAAAGAGTTATGGACTTTGCTTCGATGGAAGCTCGCGGGAGAAAAGCGAAGCCTCGCGTCCTTGAGTCGCGGCCGGAGCAGCGCTTCGTTATGAAGCAGCGCAAGTGGATCATGGACGCACATTTTTACGTCTTCCAGTCGACAACGTTTTTGACGAACATCTCTGCTGCACACATGAGCGAGAACGAAAGGCTGTCATCTTGATTTGAGTCAACAGTTTGGAAGGAGATATCGTCAATTATATCCTTGAACTGACTTGCATCGCGCGTGCTTGACTCAAATTTTGAGACAAAACGGATTTCTTGAACGGCATCGCCAATCCAGGAGCGAACCAGAGCTAGAGATCGATCTCTCTGTGGCTACTCTCCACTGAAGAAAAAGAGAATAATGTATTTTGAACTGCATGCAAAGCAACTCTCTCTCACTTCGAAATAAGGACATAGTCACTGTACTGTAAACTGCCCGTCGATTGACGTGTATGCAGGATAACCAATCCAGTACGAGCATAGGCACGCTTTTCCTTTGGAAAGATTGCCCGAAAAAAGGTGGTTTCCAGACACCAAAAAACTCATACGGTGCACGCGCCTGCACTGACCTTAGTACACTAAGTTAGTTGCTCACACCGTACGAACTTCGTTGCACTCTGCCATACGATTTTCCTTTCCCTGGCTGTAAAATCTGTCGCGGCAAAATATAGGTGGGGCGCTCTCGCGGTACTTTACGGTATGTGCGCCTCTCTGTGTTCGGTGAATGATTTTGAATATTTGCGCACGACTTAAGGATAGTGCACATTGTGTGGATGTACCTGCGTATGTAATCCTTTCATGATTTAAAAATTAGGAGCCGTGCTTCTCATCACCGTGGACAAGTAAATGTCGGCCAATTATGTAGCGTTTGGAGACTTGCACAAGTACAGTTGCGTGTCAATTATGCGGCAACCGCGGAATAAAATGAATATTCTGGACGACTGAAGCTACAAAGCCATCTTGTGTTAACAGATCAAAAAGACAGTACTTCGAAGTACCTGTATTTATCACTAGTATTACCCTGAGACAGTCGTGCTCATCTCTAGAGACTGGCTTGTATTTAACTCTACGTAATGGCAACTTTCATGATGCTGACTGTCTACATTTACTTGAAGTAGGACTATAAATACTAAATATAAGGTCTATAGGCTGTCAGTGCGTTGCTGTTGGATACCCGACATGCCATGTGACTGACCGCCAGATAAACGACTTACGATTGTACCGGTCACAGTGTAGCTGGGTTTTCACGAAAAAAATGAAACTTATACGATTGTAAGAAAAGTTCAGAAACCACACTTACACATACACACACGCACACACACACACACATGCGCGTGCACGCGCGCACACACACATGCGCGCGCACGCGCGCACACACACACACCTGTCCTGTTCTGTTGAGCCACTACCACAACTTGGCACAAGGATCGCATCGGCCCCAAAGGGGCAGTAGAGCGAAAGTGAGAGGTGTTGACTTCGAGTTCACCTATCTCTACGGTGAACGCAACCTCGACCGAAAGTCATGCCAAACGGATTTATCTACCACGCGCGCGCGCGTGCGCGTATACAAAACGGAGGAAGGATTACTTACTCTCCCTGTATGATGTATCTGTTGTATTCGTGAACAATGTCATTGATGTTTTTCCGTGCATGTTTTTGAATATGCGAGCATAACTTCCAACATCAAGCACATTCTTGCTTCTCATCAGCATGTACAAGTTTATGTTGGGCAGTTATGTAGCGTTTGTTTTACCGGCTGCGTTTGTTGGTGCTTGCAGGTCATTGGCATGCTGTCTGTTTCACAGAAGCTCGTGTAACAGGTTCACCGTACAGCTATGAATGCAATGTAGCGTGTCGAAGCCACTTCGGTATGACGTGATGCCTAACTTTCCTGGTTGTACCAAAATTGCGAGTATGCAAGTGATCGTCAAGCCTGTCCCCTGTACAGTAGCCGTCTTGCCTTGTTACGCCTGGTTCTGACTCTGCGTTCTCGTATACTCCATGCAATGTTACAAGGAATACTGCTCCCTTCTCAAGCAATTCATTGGCAACAAAACGCTCGGCTATGCCCTGTAACTTTGCTGTGCGGTTTGTGCTTTGTCAATGTTGTGCACCAGTTCATGATCTGTGCTTGCTGGTCTGTTTGTTTTCTCCCGCACAATTGAGGCGCTGTAGCACAGTGTACAGTGTCGATCATCCTGCCCAGGCTCTGGTCTCACGTACCACAGTACGGTTTCTCTTGTTGCTCACTGTAATGTGCATGATACAAGCTCCTTGGTACTCCATCATCACCTGGTGCTGTTGCTGCCATTGTTGGATCCTGCTGATATCCTTCTCGCAATGCCCGAACGGTGTTCCAACAAATGCACAACTCGCTCTTAGTTGTCACATTCGGTTTGGTCTCGTTCCAGTCTTTCGAATTGAGTGAGTGCGTAAACTTGTATGAAGTGGTGAAGCAAAAGCCGTGCGCCGGCAAACATTCAATGTCCGGGTGTAATGACGCACCAAGGCCCCGGAACTTGCGTCCAATTCCTGAGTGATTTTTGTGTGCCTAGCCTCTAGGTATCATACCATATTTGTTTGGTTCAACCGTTTTGGATGCCCACTGCAATACCATTCACTGTATTATGTGTGTATGTTATCCAAGAAATCTCCCATATTTTTGGGTGGACAAAACCTCGCCATAAGTCAGTAACCTGGCATTTTGCACCAACAGAACTCCTAGGATATCAGCGCCGTCTCAGTACCTGGGGACAGTTGTAAAGAAAAAGAAAAAATACCCTTGGCCCACAATGCCCCACTAAATAATCCGAAGGGTGTCGCGAAGACGACAATTTCCTTACCTTTCTTTCGTGGACGAAAAAAGACACTTCGCTTCGTCCGTTGCGCATGAAACGAAACATGAGGGTAGTGTTTATCAATTAGAATAGGTATCATGCACAAAGGAATGGCGAAAAGGTGCTATGCTCGAGCGCTGGTCGTCGTCTTGTTTGTCAATTTTGAGTCCCATTGAGAATTTTCTTCTCCAGACCTCTCAAATTTCCCGCGGTTGCAAATAAAAGTGCAACTTCTAGACGACTTTTTTGAATTTGGCGCACGGACTGTTAATATTGCGGGCAGCTGTATGTGGCCAGCTGTGTTTGATGGTACGGTACGGTACGGGAGACGGTGTAGTATTACCCTCGATCGTACCTGTCCCGTACCTATCCACTACCGTACCGTGCCATCAAAGACGGCTGGCCACAATGCATATTCAAATAGGGCTTTCAAATGCAAGATCACAATGTGAAACAACTTGGAAGAATTAGTATGTATGCGAAGTGTATCGGGGGATGCATGCAGGGCGCGCGATAGTGCGGGTTCGAATCCCAGGTTATGTCTTAAAAAAAAAGGATTTTTTTAAAGAATTTATAACATCCCTATGCTTTTTTTGTCTAGGTCATCAAGGCAAAAAAGCATAGCGTAGGGCCCTGAGCTTCCAAGCTCTCTCGTTTATTTTTGCTTTGTTTTTGTTTACTGCCATGGCTGGCTACCGCCCCTTCCCTCCATATCGGCCTATATTCTCTGGCCACGGGAAGGTGAAATAAATAAATAAATAAATAAATTTTGGACTTGCTATGACACATTTGTATGTGTATGATTTCCATGCAACAAACATGCGTGCAAGATGGTCATTGACCTCGTCTATTTTCCGTACCGTATGCACCACAGTCCACTTCACTCTCATTTCCGCCAAAGTAGGAGTTTGACCTGTTTGTATGTAAACGCAGCCATATGTGTGACCATACACAAGTGGTTTCGCTGGAGAGACATCAGGCTCGCTGCCGCAGAACCTCGCCGCCAAAGCGGAACTCCAGTGCATGTGTGACCGGGCTCTTGAGCCAACGAACTGTTCCATGGGTGATGTGTGTAGATGCATGATTGCATAGAATGACTGTGCATATTCTTTATCGATTCGGATTAAAATTTGTCTCCTTGTCGCCAAACTGTTCATTGTACTTCCTATGTATGCTTCTGCAAATCCCGATAGGTGCAAAGAAACAAACAACAGCAGTTTCAACACAAGATACACGAATTGCACTGCCTCAAACGATAGAAAACGAAATCAAAATGAAGCAAACATATTCATAAGAATAGACAGGCTAAAAACTAAACACCGTTGAAGGTTTTGAGATTCTGCGAGAGTGGTGCGAAATTGAAATAAAGTGAATAGCTTTTAGAAATGGAACAAAACCGATTGTGTATATTATCTTTTTTTTCTAACGAAACTACAGTACTTAGAATGTTTGCAGGTGTGAGACTATGAGCAGACATGGTGCACTCACATGATACAAGCAAAACTAAGAATATGCTGTGTAGACTATCAGACGGAGTGTGGTTACAGTGTATAGGCTACTGTGCATGGATTATGCGGTGACGTGTGACTACTGTGCATGGATTATGTGGTGACGTGCCACTACTGTGCATAAACTGATACACTCTGGAGAGTGCTGTGGGTGGCAGAGTGGACTGTGACATTGCTCCGAAAATATTCAAACGTTTGAGAGATGGCTTACAGGGCAATGCCCGGGTGTGACTAGCTCCATGATAGCATTTTCTGAGCAGAATTGGTCACAACCTGTAGGAAAAAGGAGAAAGCCGATTACACTGTGATAGAAATAATGTGAAACTGAACACAATACAGTACAACTTGAGTGTACATGAAACGTAACAGTAAGGGTATACAAATCTGTACTTTATGTCCAAGGTACTGTACAACATTACCTGAGAACAAATGACTCCTATAGCATTATGCACCAGCAACAAAATAGTACTTTATACCCAATACCATCGTATATCCATGCAGTGCTCTATGATCATACTAAAGTTTTAATGTGTATGTAGAACTGAATGTCAGGTTTGATATTTACACTTTTGTTTGACACACTATAGCATCCATATTCATCACATACTCTTTCTAGCTCATCATGGATGTTATGAGAACTGATGGAAATGTTTTTTTTTCCATTGGTTGGTTATAGTGTTTTACGTCGACCATGACGGCTACAATGCCCAACCATACTACAATGAACTGATCGGCTACATCATTGTATTGCAAAAAAATTCCATCTGTTCGAATAACATGCATGATGAGCTAGGCAAAAAAGCATAGCGTAGGGCCCTGAGTGAAAGAAATAAACGTTCTTTTTGCATTCGAGGGTAATACGACACCGTCTACCACCTTGATGACCTAGGCAAAAAACGCATAGGGATGTTATAAATTTTTCATTTCTCCTATTTTTTCAAGACATAACCTAGGATTCGAACACGCACTTTCGCCCTGCATGCATTCCCCCGATACACTTCGCATACATACTCATTCTTCCAAGTTGCTTCACGTTATGATCTTGCATTTGAAAGCCCTATTTGAATATTGTGGCCAGCTGTCTTTGATAGTACGGTACGGTATGGGACAGGTACGGGATAGCGCCAGGCATGCCGATTGCACAAACAAACAAACACCAAATTAAAGCTGTGTGGACCCTGGCTAGCGCCTGACGTTACTGAAGTAACGTCTTTTGCATAGCTACGGGAATAAAGAATATTCGTTCGTTCCTTCGTTAGCATCAGGAACGTTCGATTACTGAAAAATTGTGCTCGTTTCATCGCAAGACTATTCAACCATACTGCTGTACAGTAACACATGCAGCACAATCTTTGGTGCTTCTGTTAACATTTGAGAGGCTCTTTTTCCATCAGTTATCGGGTCAAGAGTGAATTTTGGGACAGTGAACATGTGGTCTCTTCATGTTGGCAGCAGCACTGCAATTAACTTACGACTTGAAGATCCGATAATGCCTGGAGGATGCTCCCATATGTGCTGAGGACCTCTTGTTTCATCCGAGTAACGAGCTTTGCATTGCTTGAATTGCGCCTAATGCCTGAAAATACAGCAAGCATGAAAGATGAACAAAATGTATGATGGAACTGGAGCGTCGGAAACCTGACACAAATATCAGTTTATGCTGAGCATTAACTGTAGTTAACAGTCACGTAACACCCTCTCAGCTGGCTCTCTTGCATGGGGTCCACGTTGCACTTGTTCCTTACCCATACCACAGCTGATACGCTGGCCTTGTCACTGTCTGTGCATGCGACCACGTGCACATGTTGCAAACACAACCGGGGGCTGCGCGCCCTTCACTGACGTCGGCTTAGCATGGCAGCTGGCTCACTAAACTGCCTGTGCGTACTGATTCTCCTTTCAAGCATTTGTTGTTCCACGCTTGCTTGCTGCTCTGGCTCGCTGTTTTCTCACAGACTAGCTCTCTGCCAGAATTTTCCTCTCTGCCAGGATTTTTTTCCGCGGCAAGCTCTCGTTCGTTGGAACGGACTTTTCGGGCCAGAAAGCCGCCCTTGTTCTTCAAATCCTATCCTGAGTCCACAAGCCGAGTAATCCTGCAATCGTCAGCGGAAGCGAACTTTCTCGCTCTCAAACATCGACAGTCTGAATGGACACTTCAGGCCGGAAAACTGTCCTCATAGGACTCTCCTGCTGAGAATGGAGAACACCACACCGCGGCAGACTGACGGCTTTGGAAGCGGCGGACGTGAGCCGTGTGGATGATGGCGCTGCTCTCGGCATGAGCCCGCTTCACACCATGATCCGCTCACATTGCTCAAGAAAGAGCGCGAGGGTGTTCACGATCTTCTCACGTAAATCGAGACATTCACAATGCTTGCCGATAGTGACCAGTATGGCACACATAGATCTGTCGGAGCTGTTGGCCCTATCAAGGAATGGTCGCCCATTCGACTCGCCAATTCAGGTCGGCAGGCATGCTGGACTCTAACTGCTAGTTGATCACGGCTCTGCGACAAGCCGAGTCGGTCTACCCCGCGACAAGGGGACCTGCACACTCGGGCCTACCCTGAGTCACTTGAGATCCTTCTCGACAGTGGAGGAAAATGTTTGTCCTTAGCAGACCACGGCCTACACGCCATACACACGTCTGTCGTATCTAGTCCTTGCTAGTTTCTCAACTTTATCAAGGCTTTGCTATAGATGTGATTGATAATAATAATAATAATAATAATAATAAGAAAGGGTTTGCTCCCCACACCGGAGCTCGCGCTATTCCGCCGACTTTACTTGACACTTGACTGACTCACGACTGCCATCCAGAGCACACGAGAAGTCCATCGAACCTTCGACTCGGCAAACCTGCAAGAAAGCACCACTCCCTGCTCAATACACAGTGTTTCGGGGAATTCACCCCTCATCAGTTGAGCTTGAGTAGGCTGAGGAAGATTGTGCCTGAAGAGCACCACTTATATAGTGCTCTCCAGGCACAAACATCATCAGGGATACAAACTTACAGAGACGCTCCGTTTCCAGCGCGACAAACACCTCGTGAACACCAGATAGCAGCGTGAGTCAGTGTCGCTCCTGGACGGTGAGACAGACGTCGAGGACCCTCGGTCATTCGCAACGCTGTCACCTCCAAACCAACTAGTCGCAAGCCCGCGCTGGGCACAACAGTACGAAGTAGTGGTTGCGACTTCGGCGATGATTTGTAAGAAAGGGTTTGCTCCCCACACCGGAGCTCGCGCTATTCCGCCGACTTTACTTGACACTTGACTGACTCACGACTGCCATCCAGAGCACACGAGAAGTCCATCGAACCTTAAATAATAATAATAATAATAATAATAATAATAATAATAATAATGTTGAACGGTCTCTGCTGGGATGACGACTACACCATAGCTCAGTGGTTAGAGCATCGTTGGCTACAAGCGAGGGTCCCTGGTTCGAGTCCTGGTGGTGACAGTCAATTTTTCTTCAGACTTTTCCCGTTTGTCTCTTTCCCTCAAACCAGTTCATATTTTATGACTTGGGGCTCCCCGCGTGCTAGTTTGTACGTGAAGTGTGTGGGTTACAGTGAGGGCTGCGTCCCACCCGCCTGTGTGGATTCACAGGAAGTGTGAGTTACGAAGTCTGAAGAAAACGTTGAACGGTCTCTGCTGGGATGACGATTACACCATAGCTCAGTGGTTAGAGCATCGTTGGCTACAAGCGAGGGTCCCTGGTTCGAGTCCTGGTGGTGACAGTCAATTTTTCTTCAGACTTTTCCCGTTTGTCTCTTTCCCTCAAACCAGTTAAAATAATAATAATAATAATATTAACTGGTTTGAGGGAAAGAGACAAACAGGAAAAGTCTGAAGAAAAAATTGACTGTCACCACCAGGACAAAATAATAATAATAATAATAATAATAATAATAATGATCAGTCGGGGAAGTGAACTGCCTGAAAAGAGAAAAAAACGCCAGACCCACCAGGACTCGAACCTGGGACCCTGCTTGTCATGAGCAATGCTCTAACCACTGAGCTATGGGACCAGGCTGAACCTAGAAGGCGCTGACAAGTTTTTCACTCCAAAGGCAGCTCACAACACGTGCCACACATACTGATGGCACTTGGGTCTTTTTCCCTCCCCCAGGGGACCAACCACGGTCAGTTTCTGGAAACTACCAGAGGTGAAAGAAAGTGATTAAATTTGGAAAGGATTGGGAGAACTTCAAATTCAAATGATCAGTCGGGGAAGTGAACTGCCTGAAAAGAGAAAAAAACGCCAGACCCACCAGGACTCGAACCTGGGACCCTGCTTGTCATGAGCAATGCTCCAACCACTGAGCTATGGGACCAGGCTGAACCTAGAAGGCGCCCCCCCCCCCCATAGCTCAGTGGTTAGAGCATTGCTCATGACAAGCAGGGTCCCAGGTTCGAGTCCTGGTGGGTCTGGCGTTTTTTTTCTCTTTTCAGGCAGTTCACTTCCCCGACTGATCATTTGAATTTGAAGTTCTCCCAATCCTTTCCAAATTTAATCACTTTCTTTCACCTCTGGCAGTTTCCAGAAACTGACCGTGGTTGGTCCCCTGGGGGAGGGAAAAAGACCCAAGTGCCATCAGTATGTGTGGCACGTGTTGTGAGCTGCCTTTGGAGTGAAAAACTTGTCAGCGCCTTCTAGGTTCAGCCTGGTCCCATAGCTCAGTGGTTAGAGCATTGCTCATGACAAGCAGGGTCCCAGGTTCGAGTCCTGGTGGGTCTGGCGTTTTTTTTCTCTTTTCAGGCAGTTCACTTCCCCGACTGATCATTTGAATTTGAAGTTCTCCCAATCCTTTCCAAATAATAATAATAATAATAATGTGGAAGAGAAAAGGACATATGGATACGAGTTAAGAGTAACTCTCCATCACTGTAACATGATACTATATACAACTCGTATTCCATATCCATTAACTCGTATCCATATGTCCTTTTCTCTTCCACATTTATTTATGGCTCAACATCCGAGTTTCAAATAATAATAGTAATAATAATAATAATAGTAGAAAGGAAAAGGACATATGGAAACGAGTTAAGAGTAACTCTCCACCACTGTAACTAGATACTATAATATACAGTCAGAAAGTGCAACAACTAGGCACAAAACTGACAGAGTACTGAGACATTCGACGTCCTGACACCTAGCTTCAACACATCTCCGTAGCGCTAACCGACAGCCTTCCAACTTGGAAGGTTCAAGGTTATGGAAAGACCAAAGAGGGGAAGGCAAGCGCAACGAAAACGAGCACAAGCTACAGTCCCAACGGAACAAAGAATGTCGATTGTCACTGGACGATGACGAGACCAGTAGGCGATTTGACAAAGCGGTCTAACTACAATTCGAAGCAGCAAAGCAGCACACCACCCAACTTGGGTGGGTCAAAAATCGTGTGAAACAACTTGTTTTGTAGTCAACTAGTCCATCACAATGTCATGCATGAGGAGTACTGTAGTAGTTTAGATTTCGGCTTGTACAATTCGTTCTCGCAAAGCTTCCCCCTTCTTAACTTATCTTTGATATTTTTGACCCACCCAAGTTGGGTGGTGTGCTGCTTTGCTGCTTCGAATTGTAGTTAGACCGCTTTGTCAAATCGCCTACTGGTCTCGTCATCGTCCAGTGACAATCGACATTCTTTGTTCCGTTGGGACTGTAGCTTGTGCTCGTTTTCGTTGCGCTTGCCTTCCCCTCTTTGGTCTTTCCATAACCTTGAACCTTCCAAGTTGGAAGGCTGTCGGTTAGCGCTACGGAGATGTGTTGAAGCTAGGTGTCAGGACGTCGAATGTCTCAGTACTCTGTCAGTTTTGTGCCTAGTTGTTGCACTTTTTGACTGTATATAGTATCTAGTTACAGTGGTGGAGAGTTACTCTTAACTCGTTTCCATATGTCCTTTTCCTTTCTACTTTTATTATTGGCTCAATACCCGAGTTTCAAATAATAATAATAATAATAATAATAATACTCAATCTGCGGACAGAACTGTTTCGTCCTTTGTGAACTCGTCAGCGCAGCACAGAGGAAATGAGGCCGAACCTGATAGCAATGGAAATAAAAATTTCCAATCAGGTCCGAACGTACCTTGCCAGAGTGCTCAAACTGACAAGTCAGTGAGCTCTGCATAACGCAAACAGCAAAGGCACTACCCCACGCAAGAGTGCTCAACTGCTACAAGAGCAGGAGCGAAATACTCAATCTGCGGACAGAACTGTTTCGTCCTTTGTGGACTCGTCAGCGCAGCACAGAGGAAATGAGGCCGAACCTGATAGCAATGGAAATAAAAATTTCCAATCAGGTCCGAACGTACCTTGCCAGAGTGCTCAAACTGACAAGTCAGTGAGCTCTGCATAACGCAAACAGCAAAGGCACTACCCCACGCAAGAGTGCTCAACTGCTACAAGAGCAGGAGCGAAATACTCAATCTGCGGACAGAACTGTTTCGTCCTTAATAATAAAAATAATAATACCACAGCACCCGTACAAAGGCCAAAGAACAATGCATGAGAATACACTGAAATTAAGCCAAGTCCACTTCTGTCTCCAGTCAACAAAAAA